TACGACTCGACTTTACGTGAGAGCACCGAGCATAGTTGGATTATTAGCGCGAACCGATATACTCGCTCCAGCCAAATAAACTCCATCGAGTTATCATATAAGCAATTGACTTTTGCGCAGCTAGCCGAGCACATTATTGTATCTGCTGCAGCACGCGTATAACATATATAGATGTGCACACATATACGCCACTTGATCGCGAGCTGGCGGTCAACAATGAAAGGCTAATTGTATTTGTAAAACAGGCCACGCGTACGCGTTTATACGTAATATATAAATGACATACACAACATGGATTCAATATGGACCTGGAACAAGTGTATGCAGTACTAATTTAATGACACGCCATTACGTAGACGCTATATGTAATAATCGCGATCGAGCCACAATCCAAATTCGTCATCGAGAATTTCACCCACGAGCTTGGGTTACTTTTTCACGCACTCACACGACACACAATAGATGCTATCATTGAGTTTTTCATCGCCGATACGGTTTACAAGCTCGACGAGTAAATTATCCTCTATTTGTGCATTATACGTATAGGTGTTACGAAAATACATAGAACGAAGAGAAGCTCGTTAAAAGTGTTTGAAAGCGGCAGCGACTGCAGCGTGACTAAGTGGCTGTGTGTGTGTCGGTGTATCGGTGTGTATGCCATCGACGAGAGAGAGAGAGAACGGCGGCAGTAATCGAGCTCAGCCACGTTCGCGCGCCGCGTACAAGCTCATCATGAACGGGCCGATGTAAACTACACGCTCGCCTGCATAATTATGCGCTATTCTCCTCGTTTATACATTATATATAGTGAGCGCGGCTATCCATCGCTCTTCGCGTGCACGCGATAATAATTGGAGTTTGGACAAGCCCGTGAGCGCCTCTCTCTCTCGCTATATATCGCATATATATATTACGTGCATGTACCCTATATCCTATAGTGTGCCGACACATATTCGCCCATGTGTCGCGCTCAAATCAGCTCCCCGCATCTCGCCTCATCCCCCCGACTTGACAATACAGACATCAAGGCTCTCTCTGCCGCCTCGCTTCTCGGCAAATCTTGTTTATTTGCCAAACAGCCTGCCTAGAGTAACGTGTATACTCTGAATTAACTTCCTATCCTACTACGCTTCTATGGCGATTCGACAATTTAATCGTCTCCAGCCTATCCCAGCATTTATCTTAATTTAAAATTTTTCCCCAGTTCTTACCTTGGAATTAGTTACGTATGCAACAAATGCATAAATAAAACAAACAATTAATTATGAATAATATTCATTGATATATTTTGTCCACTGGAACACAAAACGGTCAACTCGCGTACAAAGACATTAAGGTTATTGTGGATAGACGTTCCGTTCCACATTTACAACTTTTCTATGATAATTTACAATGCTTTGAACAAGTAAAAATTAAAATCGAAGATTACAAAAAATCAGCTCGTCACGCGTACGCATTTTGAATAACATATCAAAACTGCCACTGGTATATTTACTACAGTGCTGCAGCACCAGAGATACTGATCTGTGGAGCAGTACAGAAACTGCTTCCCAACCAGAAACTTTTCCTCTACCTCTTTCTCTTTCTTTCTGCCCATTGATCTCGTTAAATTTCTGGCGTCGTTCATCTTTCTAGATGCATATCTATATACGTATAGGTACCGCATAATAGTCCCACGGAGCAATAAAACTCGTCCTGAAAAATATCCTTCCATCCACGAGGTACTTTAAATGAGATTTTTTCTCCATCTTTCTCTCTTTTCTATTCTATTGCGTCATTTTCGTAAGAAATCATTACTTTAGCGTACATTACGCATCGGTTAACACCCATTTTGGTCTTGGTGTAGCTTATAGCTTTTAACGCACGAGCAAAAAGAAATCTCAAAGTAAAATTTTTGCTGCTTTTATAATTTAATATTCTGTTACTACTTTCATCGAAAATATTTTTGTACGGTATTGCCGCGTGTACCATTATGAGCAGGCCATTTTATACCTGTGCGCTTGTGCGTGTACCATTTATCGCTTAGTGCGTTTAATCTACGTTTTGGTTATAACAAACTACTAACACAACTTACGGGCTATGGCGCTTGCCCCACACGATCGCATCGTTAATTACGTATTCGCGCGCTGAGGTACACCCTTATACATACTAACACACATACAAGCAGAAAGAGAGTAACGATTTGGGCATTATAAATATTAATACTGTACTCTCTTTTGCGTCGTTCCAGCTCATTTCGGGCCATCGCAGCTATTTAATAGATGCCTCGTGTATTTTACGCTCTGTAATTTTATTAATTAGCATATTGTGCATTTTCAATTTCTGATCGGATGAGCTTTTACCCGCACTGCGATTTAATTACTTGACCTTTCCGCACATTGTATATTTTTGTATTGCACGATATTTACGAATTGTTAAAGCAGATAATCGCGCATATTGTGTAAAAATTACTCCATTACTTCGTATCAATTTCGATCGAGCAGCAAAAATAAATAGCTGCAATAATCTTGCGCGCATCAATCTATTTTGATCTACGCTCTGTTAAAGCCCATTATAATACCATGAAAATTTTCAGTTTAAGAAACAAACACGCACGCTATTTTGTCGATGACGCGTCAGCACTGCATTTGTAACCACCACATCTACCAATACTTCCGTGCATTTTTTCCTCAAAAATTATCCATAAACATAATGGATTAATATATTATATATAAGTTTACGATCATCAGTCATTGTGGTTTATTATAGTCTTGTAAGCTCTTTGCACTGCCGAGCTAGGGTTTGCCAGGCTGTCTAATTACCAGAAGCTTGGAAAATATTAATGGATTTTAAAATTAGCTTTGTGTACCTATTTCCTATATAAATTTATCGATTTTTCGTTTGCTCAAAATATATGTGGCTGTTAAAAATAAACTTGATTGATTTTGTTAATTATGAACAAGGAGCCGCCCCAAAAACGATTGGAAAGCATAAGTTTGATTGATTTTTCTCCTAGAACGCATATTCCAAACTTTTTAATGCTAATGATCTTTAATAACTTTTAAAAGCTCAACAGTTCGATTTGATTAAGTTTTATGAAATAATGATTCGAATTGAATTTTTCAACTTGCTTGAGTAATCATCTCGGGACGCTTTCATACGTTTTATAATTTCGGAGCGCGCCAAGTTCGTGTAAATACGCATTCCTCAATTATTCAGGGCAAAAAAAGTATTTGCATAACAATAAGGAAAAAATGAAATAACAAATCGAATAATTTTTTATATTGCGCGTATCTGCTAGCGCATGTACATACGCAGGAGCTTTGCAAGCGCGCACATAACGGGACATTGTAGTTTTATTAAATGAATTTATGTGCCCGAATCGATTTTATATAAATGGCTATCGACCCCTCGATGAATTTTCGATTAAACTCATCGTGCATGTAGCTGGCGCACATACGCCCGTTCGTTGCTACGCCACGAGAAATGTTTTTCGTTGCACAAAAAGGAATGAGAATTTCATACCATGAACGCACTTTTTTTCTGTTGTATCGATTTTATCTCTACTCGAGCGTGGGCGTTGGGTTGGGTTAACTTTTTTTCTGCTTCTGCTTTCTATACTTAGTTGCGAGCTAGCGAGGCTAACGGCTGTTATTTTTCATAACGCGAATAAATTTTATTGAGGACTATGCACTTTCGATGCATATCATTTCAAGCAAGCTTGGATATATTTTTTTGACAGAAGTTTCAGTAATTCCAAATTTACTTTAATTATTGGCCCGCTCAATTTCAATCAAAACTGTTAGCAATTATTGTCCATCTGTTAGCACAAGAATGTCTCCACTGATGATTTCTGAATTTTGGCTCGCTTTCTACATTGGTTGCAATTCTCCAATGAAACTTTCGCCACTTCAATGAAGACCATTGAATTAAAATCCTTTTTTATAATTGCATTATTGATTTTTGAATTTTTCTGATTATTTTAAATCCATCCGTTTCAGGTTAAAAATTATCGTCGATCTATTAGTGCAGACCTGAGCTTCCCAAAATTTCACTGTAAATAAAAGGCCTCTCGCTCGGGTTACAACATTTACCGGTGTTATGGTAACTAGCGCATAACCGGACTTGGCTTTGGGACATTTCATCTCAATTCTCCCGATAGTTTAGTACTACGTTCAAGAGTTATGGTCAATTATGTATTAGTTATCGAGAGCTCGTGCAGAATCGCAAATTTACGATCGCTCGAGATTACTCTTGGCTTTATTAGCTCTACCTCTCTCTCTCTCTCGTCCTAGCTTGGCTGTTGTACTTTCTATAGTGTGCTTAGGCCTCTGTGTGCCTCTCTTTCTCTCTCCCTCTCATTTTAGCCGGATAAATTTTATCCTTTTGTAAATTATACTTTAATATTTCTTGTATACGTATTCCCTTGTTTCACATCGCTAACGACTAATCGCTGGCTTTTCGTTTAACCACTCATTGTTTTATAGCAATCATATCCACCTTATGGTATCACATTTTTTCTGCTTGCAATTCCCAAGAAAAAAATTGATTTCTGTATTTACTTTTTATTTTAGATAAAAGTAATACTTGCAAGACTTATAAAATTTACAATCGGCATTCGATAGTAGCTAGCTACACTTAAGCGTAATAAATATTATATCGCATGGCAAAATTTCCCACGCAGTCAGCAGAATTTTTTATCACTACTCGATGGCATCCGCATTTTTCCGCAAGTTTTGTGTCGTGGGACAAAAAAATAGTTCTTTTTATTGTAGAATAAGTTCGATTTTGCGGTTACATTTCAATGTTGTTTTTAGTTGATAATATTTAAACGGTTTAGGTATATGTGCCCTGTTTGTGAGGTATAAAAATCCATACGACTGTAGGGTTTACAGACACGATGTCTTTAAATTACCGTTACTGTAAGGGAATATCTTATCATGATATTTCTCTCAATGTTCTAATCTGCTTTTATCTCAATGAACCGTCAAATTGATCTTTATCTTTTATTTGTGTTATAGTGTATCGGTCGGTCCTCCGAGAGCAGTACGAGCGGGGAGTTACGGAGCCCGACGAAACTAATCCGGGCTTGGATTCAGACGAAGGCTTCGACCGTGCAGATTTCAAGGTGGAATTCAGTCCAAGTCCAAATCTCGAGAGTCCGCAGTTTCAACCTCGGGACAATATTAACGGCTCCACCTCGTCGCGTTCCGGTGGCGTCAAGTCGCCCGCTTCCGAGACATCTTCACCGCCACGTGCCAGGATCAACGGCGATGGTAAGTTATATCATTCTCAATTCGTGTTTACTGGATTTCTATTTGTGTATTTATCTACTAGTTCAATGACGTGATTTATATGTTGGGTGAATATTTTTTTTTATGAATCATCAACATTTTTTACGCATGTATTTTTACTTCGAATGACGTGTAGAAATTAATTTTCTTATCACAAAAATTTATAGATATCATGATGTATTGTATTAAATATTTCTTGTGAAAATAATATAAAATAACGCAGATAAGTTTTGGTAATAAATTAATCGATAAACCGCATGAAATGCACAAATATATTATACAGTATTTGACCGCATGCATGATCAATTAATAACATAATTTGGTTTAAAGTTTGCATGTGAACATAGATTATTTTAGTTTTTGCTAAATGACAATAAAATAAACTCCACAAGACACTGGTAAAGACAATTTTAGCCTTGGACTTTTAGTGGGACTAAATTGATTATTAATACAGGTTTATGGAATGAGGCAAATTTGAGCAAAGCTCTCTACGACTTAATAAACTATTTTCAGTTTTCTCCGCAAATAAAAATTCTAGATTGTATTAATCTTAATAATTGTCAGTTCTGTAACAACTGTTAAAAAATTTAGCTAAAAGAAATATTACTGGCAAGGGACGATGAACAATAGATGGATAAGAATACGAATGCAACAATGTTCGTGAAAAAAAATTTGCTTACAAAAAACCTGCATTACGTGAACAAAGAAATCATAAAAGCATCTCTGAATGAAATCGTTATGGTACATGGTTTAGCCCTTGAGCGTTGCCTCTGCGATACAACGAGTATATGAATGCGTGCATGTGTACATGTAATAAGCTATGCTTCCCTCGGTGCATCAGTTTTCCGTTTGATGCACATATATGAAAACACGTTTTATACCGAGGCTCACGGAGGAAAGAGCGAGAAAGTCTTTGATGCCGTAATTGCTATATCGATGAAACTTATATATACTGCAAGCTCAAGTGTAAACACATAATAGAGCTTTTACGCGAAAAAAGGGGAGCGCGCTCAAGCTCGCAGTATCAGATAAAGTCATCGTTTATCGGAGAAAGAGAGGGGCAAAATACAAACGAGCAAGGATGAAGGCCTTTGCAGTATGTGTGTGTAGTACAGGGATGAAGCGTGAAAAAAGCTCAAGTTGCTGCAGTGCTTTTTTCCTCGACGCAAGCGTGTGTACTTTGACCTCTGTGAAAGTTTGAAAGCTTCGGGTCAACGTCAAATGCTATGCCAGGAGAATATATTTTCTATGCACGCGCGAGCTTTGGTGAAAATGACGCGCCGAGGGATGGGGATACTCAAGAGCGACAGAAAGCCGCTGGAGTTGAATTAGGGAGTAAAAAAAGCGTAGCCCGAGTAGCGGTTTCATTTGTAAAAGCATTTGTGAATTTTTTTTCGTAAGAATCGTGAATATTTTTACGAAAAAGAAATTATAAAAAGTTTCGAAAAGTGTCAGTAGAATCGTCTGATTTTTTCATTGCGATAAAAAGTACGGCTCAAAATTACGCTATATATTTACGGGAAAATAATAAATTCTGCACATTAAAGGTAGCTCTTGTACGTAGGTAATTTACAGAATAAAAGATATAGGAGTTAAGCGGTTTGTTACGTGTAAATAGCTAATTGCTTTTTGAACGAGCCAAGGTATAACCGCGCACGAGCTCGCCTTCATATGTATATATGTACTATGTACAGTGTACATAAACAGTGGCAAAGCGAGAAGGCCGTTGACTTTGGAAGTCGTTGTCCTTGTCGCGTATTAGCTTATCTTGACTTTCGAGTTATTTTATCCTTTGCCCCTTTTAACTTATAACGTTGTGATCTCGCCATATACATTAAGTAGTGTACTCCTTATCGAAATTCAAATTAAAAATCATGCATCAACGCAATATAAACGCAAAGCGACAACGGAATAGGAAGGGTTGGAAAAGAAATACAAGTTCCACCGCGAAGGAGCGAGAGAAAGAATTTTAATACGTCATCGCAATTAAACCGTAGAGTCTCATGAATAAACTACTTAGGTTAATTGCAGTTGTATAATTGTAACCCGGTGAAGTAATATGCACACATTTTGTCTGCTTAAGTACTCACATATTATAATATGCAATATTTTATCATTTTTTTCATTTATGCGTAAGCTTGACGACTTAATAACCAGACAAAAATTATGTACTTTTCAAATAATAAAAAAAGTAATTTATTACTTCTGTAACTCGGGCAATTTTAGAAAAACAAATATCTTTTATATGAAAAATTTGAGGTCATGGAATGGCATGCCAAAAAATTTTTTCTTTCCTTCAGGCCTGTAATTCGATACTTTGACCCGTAAATTGATAGATTGAGGAAACTCGATACCGTTTATAATAATATCGTGGCTATATCAAATATATTTACGGAAAAAAGCAAGATGAGTAGCTATAAAAGAGATTGTCCAATTCACCATGTTGGGCGAGCGTAATACTGCTTTCGTTTAAATCGAATGTATTTAAATGCAATTTTGTGCTATTGTTCTTTGAATTTGTTCCGATTAAGATTCCGATGAAGCAAGCCAGATTAGCATTGTTTTTCTCTGGAAAAAAAGAAAAAACTTTTCACTTGATAAAAGAAAATCAATTTTGTGTTTTACAAATTTGCTTTGCTTAAAAAACAGAACAAGAGAAAGGCCATAAAAGAAAAAAAACGGTACAAATCGAAAAGCAACTTTTATAAATCTCATTAACGTTCTGGTCTTGAATCTCCTTAGTCCTTTTTTTTTTTTTTTTTTAATTCAAGAATATAATCAGCGAGAGGGTAAATGCAAATATTATCCAAGGATTTGACGCAAAATTCGTCTTCATTTAGCGAAGGTTAATTTTGTTCTTTGCCGGATTATCTTGTTCTTTTCTACTGTCTTGGCTCTTCTTTCTAAGAAATGAAAACCTCTCAAAAAGTACAATGCGCATACGTATGAATGTATGCGTGTGTAGGGTTAAGCATAGTAGAAGCGAGGATGTAGCAATTGTAGTGACCTGTATTCTCCACACCTCAAGACAAAATTAGAATCAAATTAGAAACAGGAGATTATGCAAGTATGAAAATTTAATTAAAGAAACTTATGAATCGAGAATTTTGTTATTCTCACATTTTCACGGTTTCAACTTTTCGAGACAGGGTTTTTTATATTCACTAAATTATTGATTTTGCAAGCTCAAGTTAAACAATTTAATTGAATAAATGTACATAAATGAACTTGCGTCGTTGCCGACTCTTCATTCATTCGACGTGCTGGAAGGAGAAAAATCCCTTCTGTCTGAGGCGGGGGTGGAGGATTTACCAGAAGAGATTAAAACTCAAGAAAAGAAGAGACTGCTTTCACTAGAGTGAAAAAGAGAGAGAGAGAGAGAGAGATTATGTACTGTTTATATGTATACATGTGCGTAGTCGCTTCAATCCGCAAGAAGGGCCCCGCCACACCGTTGTTTATGTTTACATGCGCATACGTAATGCTCACTCCCTCTCTGACTTACTTTCTCCGTCTTCATGCATATATACGTTCACGCGCTTGTCGTAAATAAACAGACAGCGCAGTATATGTGTATTAACATGATGTTGCTTTCGCGTACACGCGCGCGCGCGTGTGTGTGTGTGTGTACGTGCGCGAACGCGAGGGGTTTAACTTTGAGTTTTGTTAAAAAGCGGAGAAAGGAACTTTTCTTAGTTAACTTTAACCTTCTCTGTGTATAGTGCTAGCCTAGCTAGCTTGTGGGCTAAGCTTCCTTTTAATTATTGCAGCTTTTTTTTATCGACTTTAAGAACTAAAAGGCTGCATACATTTTTTTGCGCGCCTTTATTTCGCCTTGTATCGCTTCCGCCTTGAGCGTATAGAATATTGATTTCACGTACATTAACTCGTGGAAAAAATTACTCTTTTTCACAAAAATTCGAGTGTATACGCTTTATAAACTTGGCTATAATCATGTGATCGAGAAAGAGAGAGAGAGAGAGAGAAGCGACAAAAAAGGCACCCTAACTGGCCACGATCGCTTACGTACGAAAGCATTAGCCAAAGGAAGAAAAGCCAAAGTTTCGAAAACTGCCGTTGCGTGAGCGTAGTCATCTAATTGGAAAGCCGTAGAGTCATTGTCCGGAGGGGTTCTTGGCTTTTTCTCGCCTAAAGCTCCAAGAGACAACGTTGTTCTCGCGCGATTTTACGGATCAGCGGCTCTTTCGGTGGGGGCGGAGCCATAGCGCGGCAGCGGCGGTGGAAGCAAGCCCCGAACGACGCTCCTGGCACACGATGAACTTCCCGAACATCGGGAGCGAGAGAAAAGTCCACTGACTCGCGGGCAAAGTGAGCTGAATTTTCGTTAAATCGAGACGATAGAGACGGAGAGAGAAGAGGAAGACGACGAGTCTTGCGCTCGTTTTCAAGAAGTAACACGGTGGGCGTAAAGTGAGAGAAAATTCACGCGAGCACACAGCGACATATCCGAGAACTATTTGAGAATCGATTGTAAGCGCTCCATTCAGAGAGAATTAACTTATCGACCAAAACATCTTAATTGTCTGTAAAGTTTGGTTACATATTAACGCTCGCATTACGTGTGTGAGTGTGGCCGCAAAGAAAAGAGCTGCACTCGCGCCGATGTATAAGATCGATATACGAAGTAACTTGGCTTCGCGTTCTTCACAATGAATCTTTAAAAAGTTACCTCGATGATACTTATTTCATCGTGAGAGTCAAACTCCGAAAATGGCTACTTTAAAATATTACACAGCTCTTGTTCAAAAGTACTTTGGGAGCCCGCGCATACAGTAGCCGAGCTTCGCGCTTTTTGGATTTTAACTTCGGTTGTTTCCCCAAAAATTATTTTTTCAAAGTTCGAGCCTTATCGTAATGGAACATCGGTCGGCCCGAGCGAAGTTCTGTACAAATTTGTATATCTGAATACATTATGTACTTCATCCTCTCTTGCGCGCATTCGGCCCAGTTGCACGCGTGTT